AAAAATGTTCTGCCATACATCCAGCAATTATGTGTTGCCGAAGGGATTCTCCTTTCTTTTAGAAGGCTCCTTAATGTAAAATCAGCGTACTGAACTCATCGGACTAAGTAAAAATCAAGAAACAACATTTTATTATGATAAAAGCACCCCTAACCAAAAGAGAAACACTTGGTTTGCTGTTATAGGTACCTATACTGGCATAAGACAAGCCAGGTCAAAATATCATGGTTGTGTTCCTCAAGACAAATTTGTACTTAGTTGGCTGATCTTGAGTCAGTGTAGTTCTAGGAATCCTGGGAGCTAATTCTTACATGCCAAAATAGATCTTTTACTTGCTAGTGGCAGAAGAAAGATGATTCAATAAATTATTTTGGGATACAGAAGTTTGCAACCTGGAGTATTTTAAAATAGTTTCTCAGTTCTTGACCTTTATAATGAATAGATGACTCAATACATGTCCATTCTCACTCCATCCTCAAAGTGACCATCACATTGGACCAGAATAAGTCTTATAGACCAGGTCAATGACTCACCAAGTCGAAGCCTAGATCAAGCTTGCAGAGCTAGTGAGGAATGCTATCAAGTAACAAAGCCTAACTTTAATAAGTTAAGCCAAAGGAATTTTATCCTTGTTTTTAGGTCAGAAGTCCATCCAAGGTGAAGATCATAATCTGTGAAAATGACAGAAACTGTAGAGCAATTACAATATTCTAAACTATCAGAAAAGAAACATCTTTAGGTCAGAAGTCCTTAAACATCTTTCTTCAGAATTAAAACATAAATGTTCTCCTTTCTACTTTCTCTTAGTTTCTCTCACCTTTTACTTTAAAAAGAAGTGGTTATCAATTTTGTGGTCCTTTTTATCATAGAGAATCTAAAACAAAACAAGAAAGGAAACACTGACCTTGGCACCAGGAGCCCACTCCCGATAAGTGATACCTGTAGCACTGGCAATAAAGTTCACATGCAATCAGTGACTGGTACTTCAGCCCCTCTCAGTAGAGCAAACTTAGAAAGGGAAAGAAGGAGCATCTACAGTAAGGTCAGGCTTACAGATCTGATATAACTTACTCCAAGGAAAAGAAAAACAGAAAGTAAAAAGATGTACAATAAAGGGATGAATTACATAGATTCTCTTCCAACAATTAGGTGTAACACTAGCTCCAGATGGTTCCTTTTCGTAAACATTAGCTTCGGTAGGTCACTTTCCGGGAATCACTTCTGCTGTCTGAGACAAATACTTCAAATTCCAATATATACCATGCCTAGATTGCTAGAAACTAGATGATAGCTATTTTTAGTAAAGGGCTGAGCATGTCAAGAATTAACCGCTGCTATATACATGTCTCGAAATACAAAATGTAATCTGTTTCTCTTTCTTTTTTCTGCAGATACTACAACCTATATCACCTTTTCACTCCTCTATAGGTTTGAGTGTGGGTCAAAGAAGTACCAAGTGGGCGTCAACGAAAAATATTATGGCATGAAATTGACAAGGTTTTGCACAAGGCCGGTCTCGAATACCTTCAGAAAGAAAATTAAATAAGATAGAAAGCAGTTATTACCTACGAGTGAAACCCATTTTTTCGTAACCACGAGAAAAAGCTTCCAAACCACCCTCATATTTGTCAATTGCCTCCCTCATTTTCTTGTACTCTGAAAACCTAAAAGTGGATAGCATAGAAAAACATTCTTTAGATTTTAGCTGGACATGTCCAGGCGCAGGAACTGCAGAGAAAGATAGCACTGCCACTTGGGGCAGAATGAAGCAGATAAATGCTGAGGCATACAGATACACCAAGAGCAAAACCATAATTGCATAACCAAAGGCAAATAATGTCTCGAGAGCAAGAACATCCAACAAAGCAAACAATTCATAGAGAAAGAACAAAAATTCTGGAAGTACATGTGAGCAATCAGCTCTCAGAGTTAGTAAAATTGGAAAGTTGAAGAATAAAACAGAACTGCTGACGAACAATCCAACCAATACAGAGCATCGTAGACTACTACTAGAAATTAAACTAGCATGTTGCTGTGCTATGGACCTATTGCGTCCTTCAAGAATTAAACTTGGAAGACAAAAATGAAGAATATACAAAGCAAATAATCAAACATAGGCAGAAGAACAAACAAAACCCAACATAGGACCACGGCAATTAAAAACAAACATCGATGACAATAACAAAACAGAAAATATTAAGAGCATTCAGATTGGAAAAAAAAACTTCTGTTTCAAACAATGACTAAAATATTATAAAGCATCTTAAATGGGTATAAACAAAAACAGTGGCTGGTAATGCCTAAACCAAGCATAAAAAAGGGGTCAGATGGACCAAATTGTGCATCTTAACTGGTCAATGGTTCCCCCGAAGGCTTCTTCCCCTCCCAAGGAGACTTGGGACAAGGTGATCATCTCCCTCTTTGTTCACGCAAGTGGTGGTCACCTATCTCCCATTTTGTCCATGGCCAAAAGATTAAGGCACTTAGAAATATGCTGAAAGTGGCTGTAGACGGGATGGATTGAGGGATTTAATGGGGAGCCAGTAAACCTTCAAATTGTCTCCATTACCCCTATGTTTATGCTGATAATACCGTCATGCTCTGTGATGCTGAGGAGAGGCAACCAATGCACCTAAGAGTCATTCGTGATGCCTTTGAGGCTGTTCCTGGCCTAAGGATCAACAATGAACTAAAATTTCCTCTTCCCAGTCAATAAAGTTCACAGCATACACTCACTGGCTGACCTGATCAAACGCAGAATTGGGGAACTACCCGCCATTTACCAGGGAGTTCTCTCAGGGCCAAATATAAAGACACGGCAGGGGAATGGAGTTAGAGAAGGTGGAGAGGAGGCTGTCAAACTAGAAGAGGCACTATCTTTCAATGCGTGGCAGACTAGTATTTATTAATTGAGTCCTAGATAGTCTTCTTCCAATGCTTCATCACTACAACTAGAAGAAGGTGGTAAACTGAAGGAGTCCAAAACATTATATACTTCTGAAGAGTCAATCATCGATGAATCTGATAGAGTTAGAAAGAGGGGCATTCCTCCCACTGTACTTGGTCAGAAGATTTACGAAATAGACCCCCTTTTGACAAACCATCGTCAACACCTTGATTACAGGTAAAAATGTTTTCATTCGTTGAGTAATTTACCTATTTTAGAGGCAGAATTCGATGATTGGGAGATTGAGAGATGATATTATATCGTCTATAGGCTGTTATACTTTTTCCTGTGATGATCTGGTTGATGATGTTTAGGTTTTATTATAGACTTCTGTCACGCCCCGAACCTAGGAGCGAGACAAACACCCGATGCCTCACCTAACCTGGCGTACCAATTGCGACTAAGGGACTCTGAACACATAATATCATACTTTGGCCATGGGGCCACCTTGCAAGANTAATAAAGTTCACATCATACACTCACTGGCTGACCTGATCAAATGCAGAATTGGGGAACTACCCGCCATTTACCAGGGAGTTCTCTCAGGGCCAAATATAAAGACACAGCAGGGGAATGGAGTTAGAGAAGGTGGAGAAGAGACTGTCAAACTGGAAGAGGCACTATCTTTCAATGCGTGGCAGACTAGTATTTATTAATTGAGTCCTAGATAGTCTTCTTCCAACAACACCAGTACACCACTACCTTCCTTAGTCCTAAACGTGTGACAAAGCTCAGAAGGCATTCCTATGGGAAAGAAATACAGAAACCAAAATGTACCACCTGCTTAGGTGGGCTAAATGCAGAAGTGAAAGGAGGCCGGTGGTCTAGGAGTAAGAAACCTGAAAAAGTATGACTGAAGCTCTTATACAAATGGCTATGGAGGTAAACTTCTCAAGTCTCAACAAGAAGGAATGTGGGAGTAGTGATTAGCAAAAGTATGATTGGTCAACTCTATGGTGTTTCAACCAGTGAGTGCTCGTCTTATGGGGTCTGCCTATGGGAAAACACAAGGAATCATTGGGCTGATTTGTTCACTTGTATAGATGCCAATCTAGGCAATGGAAGAAATTAAAGTTTTGACAAGATGCATAACAGGGCCATATTACCCTCAAAGATGAATCCACAGATCCTACGTCATGGCAGATAATTTGCAACTAAGTTGCTGAAGAATGTTCAAAAGATTTCATATATATGTACACAATAGGACTAATAAGCAGCAGCATATTGAAGTCTATAATAAAACCTAAACATCATCAACCAGATCATCACAGGAAAAAGTATAACAGCCTATAGACGATATAATATTATCTCTCAATCTCCCAATCATTGAATTCTGCCTCTAAAATAGGCAAATTACTCAACGAATGAAAACATTTTTACCTGTAATCAAGGTGTTGACGATGGTTTGTCAAAAGGGGGTCTATTTCGTAAATCTTCTGACCAAGTCCAGGTGTAGGAATGCCCCTCTTTCTAACTCTATCAGATTCATCGATGATTGACTCTTCAGAAGTATCTAATGTTTTGGACTCCTTCAGTTTACCACCTTCTTCTAGTTGTAGTGATGAAGCAAAATCCAGCTCTTCAACATTTCCTTTAAGACCACTTGCTGGCTCGACGTCACCGTTCTCAGCTTTAATCTGGCTAGCATGTTCCATTTCTGAACTATCTACATCAGTTGATGCCTAAAATAGAAAAAGTAATAGAACAATTATGAAGCAAAGTGACAATATGCATTGTCAGTGGTTCTATTATATTCCAAAAAGATTTGTACATTCAATTTAACAAGATTAAAATTATATAGTAAAGAGACATGCTCTAAGGATCTACAGATCTAATCGGTGGTTAGAGCAAGATTACTGTTGAAACTAGAGAAGTCTCACTGCTTACAATGTTTTAGGGTTTTCATCATCTTACTAGTGAAGCTTTTTTAACTCATGTGCAAAAGATGCCACCAAGATTCAAAAACTCACACGTCTAGCCACCGAAACCCAAGCGTCTTCTTTCCATCATAGTGGAGTACGAAACTAGAGATATCAAATCAGTCAAAGATCAATTCCAGAGGTACACAAGCTGGAAATATTATCAATCAAGCATCCGATGAATAGCTTTATCTATCTCCTAATAAATTGAACAAGAGGTTGCCTCCAAATTGATTTGAAAAGGAGATTCCAAATTACTTTACGTATGAGAATTATATAGAGATAAAGGCCCACCATCAAAACTATAAATAGATCAAAAACAGTGTTCGAAAATGACTCTCTTCAGAATTAAAATGATGATAATTTTCTTTTATTTGTTGATGATATTGTTTTTTTTTCCGGTCGTTGGGGGGGTTGTTAATAACATGATTTTGTTTTGATAAGTAAACAACATGATTATATTGTTGATGGACTAGATACAGATGAGAGATGACATTGAAAGGTGTGGAAACATTCGAAAATATTTGGATGCATGTTAGGCTATTCGAAGAGTGAGTTAATTCATAGCCCCAAAATATTTTTCTTTTTATCCTGTTAGACTATTGCTTTAATTTCTATAAAACGCAGAATTATCGAAAGATTTGGGATGAGATCTATAAAGGTCTTACATGAAGGTTAAGTGCTGTTGCTGGTCTTACATGACTAGTGGTGGCAAAATGGTTAAAAAAAAGTTAAACACCCATATTATCCACTAAAAAATGGGTTGGATAATGAACTTTTTAAAAACGAGTCAAATATGGATACGAACCATATTATCCATTTAGAAAATGGATAACCAATGTATAACTAATAGGTTTAACTTTTACATTTGTAAAGCCTCAAATTGGGGGTTCCTCAAGTTTGGAAGATTAGGAATTCTCCCAAAAGTGATCATATTCAAGAAGTCATAGATATTATGGTTACCCATATTATCCGCCGGTTAACCCGTTTTTTATCCGTATTAAATATGGATCGGGTCGGATGATTTATCCGTTCTTTATTATCCGCTTTCCACCCGAACCATATCCGACCCGACCCGTCTGTTTGCCACTCCTATACATGACGGTTAAGTTGAGAAATCACTTGTAAAGAGTAGACGTCTGTGACAAAAAGGCCAGACCGCCACATTTTCTATGTTTATCTAGCAACTAGCAATGAGATTACAAGTCGAACATTCCCGCCCAAGAGATTTAATGATCAAAAAAGCAATGAGATCTCATCCTATGTAGTTACAGAGAGGATGTAAGCATTTTTTTTTCCATCGATAAATTTCTCTGCAATTGCGTTAAACAAGTCGAACATTCCCGCCCAAGCTTCTCCAGAGCTGTGTTTCTAGGCAAGCTCCGGTGGCATTCCCTATGGTCTTCTGAAAGTCGTTCCTCCACAAACAAACCTCCTCAGAAGTTGTGTCTTGGCACTTTAAAACCATGCCTCTCTATTTTACTTGAGCTCCTCATGAATGGTGCTCTATATTCAGTATCCTCTGGTATCTGCTACACGATGCCTTAGTCCCCACTTTATAGTAAAATGCCTTTCTCCAGTTACCAAATGGTAATTCCCCCGACAAAACTAGTTTCACATCCTCCTCTGATGATGCAGCACAGCTACGCACGCCCTGCACTAGTATTCATCGAATAGTTCTCATTTGTCCAAAAGACATCTATACTGGTCATACAAGTATAACGGGTCTAATTACCTTCTATGAATTTTAGGACATTTAATGTGGATAGCGTTCATGTATGGAATGTGAACAGTTCCTCTACATATAAAACTCGTATGTATGAATAGTATTATGAGGATAATTTGTATTATTCCTGTGAATGGTGCCCATGCTTACACAGAATCAAACTATTTCCTAGTCCTAGTACCACTTGTAGGGACATGCAATATACCGATAGGGATAATACAACCGAGCGTTTTGATGCCATTTGTTGAGACTAAAGACCCCCACAGTAAAATAAAGGGAAATAATGGTAGACATTGAAACTTCCGATACTCCCTCAATTGATACATGCGTGAGACAAAATAGGTCGCCTATTGGAAAAGAGATTTTGGACCCAAAAAATATTTTTTCATAACCTGAGATAAGCAATTATCTAAACAAGACTGTTCAAGAAGCCTTAGTCATTCCAATATCATGGAAAGGATCTCTCTACCAAAATCCCAAACTGATTGTACAAATGGCTTTAAGTGTGGCAGGCTGAGCTGCTATGTATCATTTTCTTAACTCCGCAAAAGTAATATTTATTAATCATGGTTTTATAGGCACTGAAGGGAGCGGACCACAAGGGTCTATTGTACGCAACCTTACCCTGTATTTCTGTAAGAGCCTGTTTCCACGGCTCGAACCCGTGACCTCCTGGTCACTTGGCACAAACGTTACCAGTTACGCCAAACACCTCAAATTTGTAGGTAATAGGGGCAGATAACTTTTTTCTATTATTTATTGGGAGAACCTAAGGGCACCAAAGCATACTCATGCCTCCCTCTGAACTAAGAGTGCATACAAATTTATTTTCACGAGTTAGCAATGATGCATCAACTGTAGCTAGAAGCCACGCATCTGGCATCTAGAATACGGAAATATTGAGAAGACTACTTTTTAACGACACTGTTCTCATGGGAACAAAATGCAATAACACTTTCATTCAAGCAGACTCAGAAAGATATCTATTTAGAAGTGTTTCTGCAAAAAAATTTGCCACCTCCACCTCCACCCCACCCCCCTCCTCCAAAAAAAAAGAACTCTCTTTTCATGCGGTTGGAGATTAATGAAACATACCAGGGCATTTTCTGGAACTGTATCAGCAACCTCCAATTGTTCAGTTGAGGATAAGGAGTTGTCACCCTGGCCGCCAGGAACAAGGACTTTCTCTGATGCTGCAACTGTAGAAGATCGGGATTCGGGCTCGTAAGCAAAAATCTTCCCTACATACATATATCAGATTAGTTTTATATCTCCACTAGGCTACTTAAGTGTCAATTAATTATGGTTGAAGAGAGCAAATATTTGTATAATTAATTAGAAGTGATACTGCAGACACAATCAAAAAGTTTTTTTCCCAACCCCAAATTCCCAAGCACAATTTTATAGTGTGACAAATTAATCCTATAGCGAAAACAGATTTTATACTTCGGGGTTGTTTGGTGCGGACTAAATTATTTGCGGGATTATATTCCCAAAATTATAATTTCAAGATTAATTTATACTATATATATGAAATAGGATAAGATATAATATTATGGATTAAGTTTGAAATTAAATTTACATCGTATTTGACTGACGGTATAAATTTATTCTAAGATATATTTGTACCTCTTATCAAATCCCACATCTTATCCTACTAATAATAGTGCGTGGGGATTGGTTGAAAGACTCCACACAAGACTCTCCATCGTCAATTCAACGCCAACTTGAACTCTAAGGTTGTTGTGCACCCGTTTATCCTTAACTAGAGTTTTTGAGTCTAAGTGTTACATATGAAATAACTTTTATTATGAAGTACTTTATTTTATAATATGGATCTTTTTGGGCGAATTTAGATTTTGACGAGCAACTCAATGTCGAACTCTAATATAAATACAAACAGGCAGGACAACTCAATGCACAAAGCATCTCGGTGCACAAAGTATTCTGTATTCACGCAGAGAAAGGATCGCACTTCAAGGGTGTAATATAGACAGTCTACCCTAATACAAGTATTAATGGTTGTATCCACAATTTGAACCTATAATAACTTTATCGTGCTCCAAGACTCTTTTTCCCAATACAAATATATACTCCCTCCGTTCACTTTTACTTGGCACGTTTTGACTTTTCACGTCCCTTAAAAAATAATAAATAAAGTACATAATTTACCGTGATACTCATATTAATTGATGCATATTTTATTGGATTTAAGAAAATGATTCGAAATCAGTAATAAATATTGTGGGTATAACATGAAAAAAAATTATCTTCTCTTGATATGCATAAAGTATCAATTAAAAATAAAAATCTATTTTTAGTATACATGTCAAGTAAAAGTGAACACAGGTAGTACACATGATGAAAAAAGAAAAAGAATCTTTTTTTTCAAATATTTTATTTTTTCAATGTTTTGATATTTTTCCAAAAAAGAAGTGTGTACTCTTGAGCCAAAGGGCCCACGTGGGGTGTTAGAAAAATGGAGTACTATATGAATCTTCGAAAATATGAGGAATGAAAGGCTGGTAATGTATTCCATGTGCAACTGATTAGCCGTCTTTTTTAATCTTGTGGGGTTTTCACTTAGTGATCTTTTTAGTGGCATTATTCCACGTGTCTCCTAAAAGTTAGGAGTGTACATTTTGTTAAAGATTATTTTGATGCGATATTCTTCTCGCTTATTGATGTTTGGCATATTTCGATATGTGTTGATGTTACTTTACCCATGTTTTAACCGCTTC